CATAAAGTATTATCACAAGTTTGAACACATACATATATATATTCTTTTATATATTGTTTAGCATATTTGATATGCATTAAATATACTAAATACACTAAAATTGAGGAAGAAAATTTCCATCTCTGTAAGGGTAGATGAAAATTAGATAATTTTTTCCTTCCAGTGTTTTCTCCTGGTTTTGGTGTAAGAAAATGATGGCTTCATTGAATAAATAAGGAAGTTTCCTTTTCTCCAATTTTCTATAAGAGTTTTCACAGAATTGCTATTATTTATTCCTTAAATTTTTGGTAGAAATGACCAGAGAAAACTTCTGTGCATGGCATTTTATTTTTGAGAAAATTTTAAATTACAAATTTAATTTCTGAAATAGATTTAAAGCTTTTCAGGCTACTTATTCAGGTTACTCCTCAGTGAATGCCCTTATTTTGCATCTTTCATAGAATTTGTCCATTTAATCTAAATTGTCAAATTGGTTGACATAAAGCTTTTATACTTATCTATTGCTATGTAACACATTGCCACAATATGTAATGCTTAAAATGACCAACATTTATTATCTCAGACTCCTTTGGTTGGGAATTTGGGAGCAGATTAGCTGGATGTTTTTGGCTCAAGGCCTCTCATGTGGTTGCAGTCCTCAAAGGAATTGAATGCCAGAGTATCCAGTTCCAAGACAGATCATTCACATGGCTTTTGGAAGAAGACCTGGGTTTCTTGATGACTGTTGGCAGGAGGCCTTATTTCCTTACCATGTGGTTCTGTACTTAAGCTGCTTATGTGCTTAAGTGTCCTCACAACATGAAAACTCCCAGAGCAAGTGATTCAAGAGAGAGAAGAAAGCCACTACGTCTTTCATTATCTAGCTTCTAAGCTGGAACATAATCATTTCTACATTATATTATTCATTAGAAACAAATTGCTAAATCAAGCCCTCACTGAGAAGAACACAATAAAGCTCTACTTTTCAAAAGGGGATTTATAAAGAATTATAGAAATATTTTAAAACTGCCACAGGTTATTCAGATTTCTCCCTTATTATTTTATCTGATTTATAGGGATATTCTCTCTCTCAATTTTGATATTGGTAGTTTTGTCATATCCCTTTTTTGCATGATTCATTTGGCTAGAAGTAGATTCAATGTATCAGTTTTTACAAATAACTATTTTGTGTTTGATTTATTTTATGATTTATTTAATTTTTTTCAGGGACAGGGTCTTGCTCTGTCACAAAGGCTTGAGTGCAGTTGCACAATCATAGCTTGCTGCTTCCTCCATCTCCTGGGCATGTGATCCTCCTGCCTCAGCATCCTGAGTAGGTGGGACTATAGGCACACACCATGACGATTGGCAAATATATATATATATATATTTCTGTGTGTGTGTGTGTGTGTATATATATATATATATATATATATAGAGAGAGAGAGAGAGAGAGAGAGAGAGAGAGAGAGAGACGACAGGGTCTCACAATGTTGCCCAGGCTCCTCTCAAACTCCCAGCCTCAAGCAATCCTCTCACCTCAGCCTCCAAAATGCTACTATTAAAGGCATGAGCCATCATGCTCTGCCTATTTGATTTTACACATTGTTTTCTATATTATTACTTGTGCTTTTATCTTTATTTTATTTTACATATTTTGGGTTATAGTTCCTCTTTTTATTTGCTTTGTTAAATGGAATATTAGGTCATTAGTTTGAGACCTTTCTACTTTCCTAATGCAGACATTTAGTGCTATAAGTATCCCTCTAAGCCCCATTGTAGCTATATCCCATAAATTTGATATCTGCATTTATGTTCATTCTGCTTAAAACATTTCCTAATTTGCTTTTTGTCTTTGATCATGGGTTGGTTAGAGATGCTTCATTTCTTATATTTGGAAATTTTAAAAATATCTTGTTATTCATTTTAAATTTAATTATCTTGCAGAAAGCTTACTTTACATAGTTTGAATCCTTTTAAATCTACTGAGCATAATTTTGTTTCTCAGAATATGGTCTATCTTGGTAAGAGTTTCATGTGGCCTTGAAGAGAATGAATGGTCATTCTACATTGTTGAGTGGCATAGTTTACCAAAACCAAGCAGGTTAGTTGATAGACTGTTTAAGCCTTCTACGTTATTACTGATTTTGTGTCAAAATTTTCTATCGCTTATTGAGAGAAGAGTGTTGATGGCTCCAACTATAACTGTGAATTTGTCTATTTATTTTTGCAGTCCTCTGAGTTTGTGCTTTGTAAATCTGTGAGTCTTGTTACTGAGTTTATAGTCAGGGTTTTTAGGTCCTTTTGATAAACTTATGAAGTGACAGTCTTTATCCATGTTAGAATATTTTTCTCTGCAACATAGTTCATTTTATATTAATACAACTCCTTTAGTTTTGATTACTTTTGGCATGGTAGATATTTTTCCGCCTTTTCACTTTATACCTTTAAATTTCATTGGGCTTCTTATATTCAACACATGATCAGGTATAGATTTTTGTAATCTGATAATCTTCTTTCAACTGGATTATGTACCATTTGAATTTAATGTGGTTATTGACATGGTTGGACTTAAATCTACCACATTACTGTTTTCTATTATCCAAATGCCCCTCTGTCCCTGTTTTTCCCTATTTTCTGTTTTTCTGTAGAATAAATCAGTATTTTCTCATTCCATTTTACAAACTTGCTTATTTGCTCTGTTGTTTTCTTCTAGCTCATTTAATGGTTAGTTAAGTTTTATATTATACATCCTCAACCGATCACAGTCAATCTTCAATTATTACACCACTTCATATCTAGTATAAGAACCATCCATGAGCATCCTTCTATTTTGCCTCTGAGCTTTTTGCTGTTGCTACCATACATTTTGCTTCTAAGATTTAACCTCACAAATATTTTTATTACTTTTGCTTAACACATTATAAAGAGATTAAAAGAATAAATGTTATTTTATTTTTATTTATTTATTTATTTATTTATTTTTTTGAGACGGAGTCTTGCTCTGTCACCCAGGCTGGAGTGCAGTGGCGCGATCTCATCTCACTGCAAGCTCCGCCACCCGGGTTCACGGCATTCTCCTGCCTCAGCCTCCGGAGTAGCTGGGACTACAGGCGCCCGCCACCTCGCCCGGCTAGTTTTTTGTATTTTTAGTAGAGACAGGGTTTCACCATGTTAGCCAAGTTGGTCTCGATCTCCTGACCTCGTGATCCGCCCGCCTCGGCCTCCCAAAGTGCTGGGATTACAGGCGTGAGCCACCGCGCCCAGCCTACGAATTTCATATTTGCCTCATATTTGCCATTCTTCTGTTCTTTATTCTATTGTTTGAGTTCTGTTTTCCACCTGGCAACAGTTTTCTTCTGCATAAAACATTTTAATATTTCTTAATTTTTAAATATCTTATTTCCTTTATCATCTTTTGACAATTTTTTTTCCGGTTTTAGTATAGCTAAAAAATTTTACCTTTTATTTTAGAAATATACTTTTAATTTTAGGATAGATTACATTTAGAAAAACATTGTAAAGATAGTGCAGAAAATGTCTTTATATATCACATCCTGTATTCTCTATATTAATATCACATATGAGCATGTTACATTTGTCACAATTAAATATTAATGTATTACTTTTCACTACATTTCATACTATATTTTGATTTAATAATTTTTATCTTGTTTTATTATCTGATCCCGAATACCATATTATATTTAGTTGTCATGAAAGTGAATGGTCTTTCTAGGATGACTGCAAAAATACAAAAACAACAGTAAAAAGCAATGTTGCAAAGAATAATGGGATGGACTCAATCAGCCCTGTGATTTATTGTGCTCTGGACAAAATAGTTAATCACTCAACAGATACTTATGAAGCTCCTCTATGTAACCAACATTTAATAATGCATTTTCCTCTACTTGCATATGAAAACATATAATTTTAGTTTCCCAACCAAGCAGAAAACTGTGTATTTCTTGATCCCTGTTTGTCAAAGATAAAACCAAAAGCAATAAAAAATTATAAATGATGAAATTCACAGAACTTATGAAGCACATTTCCAACCAGTTATTATGTTTAGAGTTAATTCTATTGTCCAGCAAGATATTTTCTAGTCAATAGCTTCTTGGAATCATTCCAAATTGTCAATCCTATTTCTTATTCTTAATCATCACTATTAATGTTATTTTCAGTAGTTGTAATAATTTTTCCCAAAACATACACTGCTGAAGCCCTAAATACACCAATGAATAAAAATAATAAATATATAATATTTGAGTTATACATTTGATATTGTAGCAAACAAAAGAAATATGCCTCCTTAGCTGTTTCAATTGCTATCTGTTAATTCTGAGGCTGCTTATTTCTTATTTGTTTACCTGTTTATCTGGAACAGATAAAGGTCGATAAAGCAACTGAGGACAGGATTGCCCCAAATGAAGTTATTGGTACAATTATGAATTCATTTGAAATGCCTTTCTTAACTCCCATTTTGGGCTATTCTTGGCAGGATTAAAGGATTTCAATCTGGATTAAAGGATTAGGTAACTCATAAACTAGTGTTCATTTTAGAAAAGAAGGAAACACATTCATTTAGATTCTTTTTGTCAAGGGATGAATGACTATTCTTTGCAACATGCTTTTTTTCTATTTAAGCTGAGACAATAATACATTTATGTTTTTTCTAGTCCTTTGCTGTGTTGATTCCCTGTTCATCTTTTACACTGAATGCTTGAATATGCCTTCAGGGCTATAAAAAGAACATTGCAATAAGGTGAAGCATTACCACTTTTGGATGATAATGTTAAGCAATCATTGTTTCAATTTACAATAAATACAATATAGCAAAAACAGAAAAAAATGAATATTAGTATAAAGAAATACTCCCTACGTGCTTTGATTTCCAGGGAAAAGAAAAGACAGAAAATCATTTTTGGATACTTGTATTTCCAGCATAAAGACTTTTCTAAAGCTTAGATTTACAAAGATTATTCCCATAAGTGATTCATCAAATAACTCACTCACTTGAATGGTGTTCATTCATCTTTTATTTCAAATAAGCAGGCCTCTGATACGATAACTGAAGTCATAACCATAGCCTTGGTTAGCTACTTTGTTGGGAAATAGTGTTGAGCTACCAAACATCTCAGTCCAAGGAGATTCCTGAGAAGTGAAACTTCTTGCTCCTTTCATCATATTCTTACCAGAAACAATCCCAAAAACCTGGCTGAATTCCATGTGAGAACATGACTCTCCCTGGCAAAAAAAAAAAAAAAAAGGCTATAGGGAACACAGGATAAACCAGAGTCTCATAAAACTACATAGCAGCTTATGTGTGAAAAGCCATACTAGATTCCTACATTTTTGAAAAGTATTATTGATGCATTTCTCATTGTTAATTCAAATTATTCTGCCTTCTTTTGTCTTTTTCTTCTCATAGAGTTACCTCTTCCTAAAACATGCTGAAGATTTTAAAACTATCACCTGTTATCTCATATTTCCCCAGTCCTTCCTAGTAGTTCATTTTAAATTTCGACTCCAAAAAACCACACTGGCAGCTTACCTATCTGTCTGTGGCCTCCAAGAGGCTCCTAGCTACTTGTCTTCATTTCCTTGCTTATCCTCACATTTATCTTTCCATCTGGAAAAAAATTATGCTGCCATAGAGAAGAAACCCTATTGATAACTGAAGTCATAATAAAACATTTCTGAAAAATATTTTCTCATGCCTTTTACTGCCAAAGGAGCTTTTCATTAAGCAGTAGTAATTCAAAACAGATAAGAGCACGGACACAGGAGCCAGATAGTTTGATTCATCTAGTTTGACCAATTTCTACGTTTGTGATCTTGGACAAATTGCTTAACTGCTCTGTCCTTCAGGTTTTTTCTTTTTTTAAAAAAAATGAACATGAGCATAGTGCTTAGCAAAGTAGCTGTCTCATAGTAACTACTATAAAAGTGATAGTATTTTTATTTGCAGAGAAACAACATATCATCATCATTAAGGCATGGATCAGATATCTTCTCCACTGAGTTATTTCAGGTTCTCAGGGAAAATCTGGTTGATTAGGAAGATTACTGGTAATGTATCTTTCAGAAAAAAACAATACAATTTGCATACATACCTTAATTTTGTGTAGTTAACAATTTTAAAATTTCCATGGATATATGTGTTTTGGAAATATATTATGGTAGTATTTCTAAGACGTTTAAGAGTTAATTAGCCAAGCGTTGTGGTGCATGCCTGAAAGCACAGCTACTAAGGAGGCTGAGGTGGGAGGATCACCTGGTCTCCTTGGGGGATCAAGGCTGCAGTGGGTTGTGATCTTGCCACTGCACTCCAGGCTAGGTGAGAACAAAAGACTATGTCTCAAAAAAAAAAAAAAAGAAAGAAAGAAAAAGAAAAAGAAAGAAAGAAAAGAAAAGGAAAGAAAAGAAAAGAAAAGAAAAGAGAAAAGGAAACAATGCCCACCCTGTGGTTTTAAACTTTCTTTTTCAGATTTTTGTTTGTTTGCTTTGTTTTGTTTATGCTTTTGATTTTAGGGGGCAGCAGCTTCCCTAAAATGCTAGAAGCCCACAGCAGATTCAGATCAACCAAATATAGTTTCGTTTTCTTCTACTGTTTTGCTTTGGAAAAACGTTGAAAGATATTGAATACTTATATACTGTGCTGGTTTTTGTTTTGTTAATATTTCCTATCTCATATTTCAGATATAAATAAAAATTACAGTACTACTTGATATCTTTCTAATCCCAAGCATTCATTTTTACTTTCTATATTTTAAACATTACTGTTTCTTTAATTGCCATGCCATAAGTATTTACAGGTTTTGAATGATATGTACAGCACATTTCTAAATATTTTAGGCAATTGTCAAGACCACACTGATAGTCAAAGAAAGATTTGTGGGGACATGAAGTATGATGTAGATCCATCAGATAAGCAAAATTTGATAGTCAAAGAAAGATTTGTGGAGACATGAAGTATGATGTAGATCCAACAGATAAGCAAAATTTGATTAGGTAGATAAGGAAAATAAATGATATTTAAAGCCTTGTTACATTATCAATTTTGTTACTGAACCTCCCCAAATATGTAGAACCTCAAATTGGACCCAAATATATAAATATATTTATATCTATATATGTAGATATTTGTGATACATTTTATCTGTGAATGTCTAGCAACTGACAAGAGCCAAAACAGGCCCACTTCCACTTGTTTATCTTCAGCCTTAGACATTTAAACTTCCAGCTGTAATCATTAATTACTTAGTGGTAAAAAATTGAAAATGTTCATAGAAGTTGCCATTCCCTTAGAAAAGGAAATTATGCAATTCATTACATTCAGTGCGAATAAAGCTGAGCTCTTACTGCAAAAGGTCAGTTTTGTTTAACTTTCCTCTACAGATTTTCAAAAAACTAGATGAAAAAAAAATTAAGAGTATTTGTAAATATATAAAGAAATCTTCAAGTCTTTCTGTATCAATTGTTTTAGTTAATAAGTGATGGCATTACTGATTTCAATTATATATACAGATTATACTATTGCTATCAAATTGTAACCACCTTTTTATTAAAATTATTTCATGTCCAACTTCATAAATCTTTGAAAAGCATTAATATATTTCCAATTCTGTTAATTTAAATTATTTTGCCTTCTTTCATTTTTACATTTTGGCTTTCTCCCCACATTACTTTTGACCAACTTGACTGATCTAAGACAAAAATTATAATAGCTGTATATTTTAACTTAGATGATCTATATTATATATATATATATAGCAATCAATAATTTTAACTCTTTATTCTTAAAATGATCCATATTATTTTCCCTTGCGTATTTATTTCCTGAAAAGTAGAGAATACTAATAAAAGAATTTCAGGGCTTCTCCCAGCAAATCCTAGTTAATTGTGTCAGATTGACATCAGAGATAAAAGCAAGGCAAAACAAAATGTAAAGACTCAAGGTCGCTGAAAGAAAAGAAGAGACTAATTTTAACACATATTTAGAAGTAAGAATGTAGATAAGGAAGTATTATACTAGTTGCTATTAGTGCTCTGCTCATGTTCCCTCTGATCCCCTTACCAAGTCATGAACACAGGCTCTGTTTGCTCCTTCATGCTCTGTAGCCAACAGCATCACTGTCAGAGAACTGTTTCCTAGATGCTAGAACCTACTCTATGTATCAGTATATGCCAAAGAGCAGCAGGTGGCCCTTTCACAATGACTGATAGATATGACAGTATGAATACACCAGCTTCCTATTCTCATAATTGGACCAACACTGGGTCTCCAGAACTTCCATGTAGATTTAACCTAAATAATTATCTGGGTATCTGGGTTGGCACAAGATCCTTGCTTCAACTCTTTCTCTTCCCATCCCACTGCCTCAACTGCCTATTGTTTTTCCCTGGGAATCCTTCCTAATAAACCACTTTCAAAGAAATCTTCATTTTAGAATCTGCTTTTCGGAAACCAACCCAAATATGAGTGACAACTGATTAAGTCCTGTTAATAAAGTCACCACCCAGGCTTGTGTAGAGTGACATATTAATGACAAGTGAAATAATCCATCGTACAGAACCGCAGAAAATCTCATCATTTGGAGACACTGAGAAACAAGGTAAATGCAGCGAGTTTAAAAGAAGGAGATTGGTTGAAAATCTGTTTAAAAAGCACTTGGAACTCTATGTCTCACATCCTTATATGCTTATGCCCTGTTGGAAAACAGCATGGACTTGGAGATACCAAATATTGTAGAAAATAGGAGAAGTAAGGATTAGAGGAAACACTGCATTATAAATATGCTGGACTCAGCTGTCTTTCCTTCCCTGGTTCCCAGAAAGTCAGGAGACAAGTATACATAACCTACTCCAACTGTAAATGTGCACCTCCTCCAAAGTTAAGCAAATTATGTTGTCACAATAAATAAGTCTAGGAAAAGGATTTTTGATATCATATTTATAAGTGTTCCACTGAAAATGAAAGATTGACATTAAATCACCACCAGGGGGCCAGTTCTGTCAATTAATCAACTCACTCTTAAATAAGAAAGGGCAGCTAGGGGTCCCCAGCAACCTAGGGAAAACCTCCGCCAGTGAAAAAGGAGATAAATAAAAGAAAAGAATGCCTAGGAAACAAAGACTAAAGAAAACTAATTTATTTTCAGGATGAGAGCAATGCTGAATATAAGCATAAAACAAATATGCTATAAATTTTTTAAAATCAGAGGACAAAGAAGCTCTTGGAAATTACAAAGATAATTACTTATATACTATTTCTTCCCTCCCAGAATGGTGAGCAGAAACATTTAAGGACATCTCTTCAACAGTTAAAAAAAGTCAAAACTAAGAATTGAAAAATACTGCTACAATTAGCAATTTGGAGTATAAATCAAAAATCTCCAACATCTTTCTGACAGGATTTCCAAAAAGAGAGAAAGAAGGAAGAGAAAGTTAGCAAAAAAGTAGTAATAGAAAGTTCTCCAGACCCCAAGAATTTCAGTCTCTAGTATGAAAGAACCCATCAAATTTCTTGTATAATGAAAGGAAGAGGCCCACACTAAGGTACACTTCCCAGCAATTTCAGAAAAACAGGAAGAGTTTAGTGTCCAGAAATGAAGAAGGAAAGAAGTCACAGTGACAAAAAAGAGGAAAAAAATGGCATCATTTCTTAGCAGCACACTGGATTTTATAAAACAGTGCCTTCATTATTATGTGTAGGTGGATGATAGATTGAAGACATTTTCATATATGCAAAGCTTCAAGTAATTATCTCTTAAGATCCTCTTTTTAGAAATCTACTGGAAAATGGGCTTTAGTAAATAAAGCAGCTAAAAATGAGAAAGATACAGGGTACAGTAAAGCAGTGAAGCCTTTGCCCTTATTAAGGATATATTCCATTAAAAGAGAGGCAATAAGTAAGTATATTAAAATTGTGATAAATGTTAAACAGAAAAAGAAAACAGGATAAAGAGACTGAGATATGTTGGTTGGGAGGTACTTCAGATGAGTTGCAAAAGACAGCTTTCTACGACATGAATGAAATACAGGAGAGCCAAATGAATACCTGGGTGAAAAGTGTCCTAGGCAATGGGGGTGGCAAGTTAATACATCCCTGAGAAAGAAGCATGTTTGGCTTCATGAACAGCAGGGTGACCAGTGGTTGAGGCAGACAATAAGCTGCAGTCTCTCTGTGTGTATCTTTGTCTCTGTCTGTCTGTCTCTCTCTGTCTCTGTCTCTCTCTCGCGCT